CAAATTTAAGAATAATTTTTATTCTTTGAATTAAATTAATATTTTTTCTTCTATTTTTTAAAATATATATATATAACTAATTCTCTATGTAAACAAAGCTTCAGATCATCTATATTTGCATTATTTAGTTCAAAAATAACTTATAATTTAAGTCTATTTTTTAAAACTACGTTTATTAATTTACATATTTTAATGAAGAATACGTTTCCATAAGTATAATTTATCATTTTGTTTGTCAATTTTATTGTTTATGACGCATTAAAAGTATATAAATGTTGTTATCTTTCCTAAGAAAAACAAACAAGCATAGAATACTTTCGACTATTGCAGGTAATGAGAAGCCAATTAGGCAACGATAAACTCTCTTAGGAGTTTCTCTGGCCTTTTCTGGCCTAATTACAATTCACTTAGGCCTATCTGCATTAAGCAAAGATCTTAATACGAATAAAGCTCATAATTAAGAAATAATAATCAGGTTTTTTTAACTATGTTTTATTTATAGAGTTATATATTCTTTAAGTTAGAATATGTAATAGAATAAAATTTACAACATAGAATTGCTAAAAAATCAACAGCTTTTATCAATTCTTTACCACAGATGACTTGCAAATTTTACGTTATATGGCGATTTAACGGGTATATTCGAGATAAAATATATGAAATTCTCTTTAGATTCTTCTTAAATTACTTTCTAAATATTAAATTATAAATATTTTGAGTTTATTTATCAATAATTGATAATTTTAACAAATAATTCTATTCAGATTACAATTTTAAGTAGTTGAATTACGCGTAATCGAGCTTCGTATAGTCTCAGAAATTTAGGATTATTTTACAAAAAAATAGAACCCAAAAGATGTTTAATTAGGTTAATTTAAACAAATTTAAAATACACGTTAAAAGCGATAAGAATTATCAATCTGTTGATAAAAGAGTTTAGTTAAAGTAGCATGACAGTATCATATTACAGAAGTAAAATATAGGATTTTTGCATGGAAATCGATTGTCGGTATCACAGATCCGATTTCACAAAACTGATGATTCAGAATTTTGCACATCGGATATGCACCAAAGAACCGATAGAACAAAAAAGAAGAAGAAGGAGTAAAGGAAATGCCCTTTGCAGAAAGTCGAAATCGTTGACGTGGATCAGGAAAACCGTTCTATAAGCTAGTAACAGAATATTGGATTGCTTCTAACTGAATTTAATTCTTAATCTGCACATTCGTTAAATATGCAAATGAAGCTAACTTTTCTTTGTTACCGAACGGAAATATTCCATACTTAAGGGAGAAACCGAGTCATATGTTAAAAGAAGGAACATCATAGAAGTACAACCTTACCTTCTATCGTCGTGCAGCGAGCTGTAAATAATTGAATAGAGAATCTTGGTGTAGATCTAATGACGCTTATTTGTTTGAAAGTTATCTAAACTATTTCCAGTAAAATGTTCTGCCTACGTGTTCAATTTTTATCTACATTATTGTAAAATTTTAATATAAAAAGCTTTTCAACTACAATACATTCGAGCTCCAGTTTTACATTTTTAATGTTAAAGGTATAATAAAGCCTGTCACTCAATTTTTAGAAATAAACGTTCGAGTCGTTGGCTCAACCTTTAAGTTTAACATATTACTCTTTTGTTATATTATATTGTAAATATTATATTTGAAAATATGTTTTAAATATTTTTATACAACATATTAAGGAAAATTTGTACAGTATTAGCTACCTGTGCCTGCTGTTTCTCGGGCTTCTGAGGAGGTGGAGATTGGTAAGGTTGGGTTGAAAGAGGGTGATAAAAACAATTGTCTTAGTAACTAATATGTATATTTATAATAATAAAGCTGAAAACTCAAAAAATGACTGGTTTATGTTAATAGGGTGGCCTTTAGGGGTTGTTGGGAGTGTGTGTATGGGTGTGTAGGTGTGTATAAGTGTATATATATACAACACTTATTTCTTCTATCCTGTATACCTATATATAAAAATATTACTTTTAAATTATTTAAAATAATTAATACAGGCTATTTAGTGTTCTAATTCGAAAATATAGTTGCTATTTTACTTTCTATAAATAAAAAATATCCTATTAATAAAGATCTAAAAGATCTCTCCTGGTTACTGTCAAACGTTCATATTACAGAAGTTATCACTCGATAACTTTATCTAACCGTAAATGTTTGATCAACCTGCAAATCTGGACAATTTAATTAATTTATATTAATGTCAAAATTTAATTAAAATACAATTTCTTATTACATTTTATAAAATATAAAAAAGAATAATAACATAACTATGAGAGAGTTAAATAAAAATTGTTTTAAAAGTATAAATTTTAAGTAAAATTTAATTAATTTTATTATATATTTCGAATATAATTTATTTTTTAGGCAATATTAATTATATATTTTTTGGTAATTTTATATGAAAAACTTTAAAATTTTTTAATAGGCCTATAAGCTGTATATTATAACATAAGGTATAAATTATTGATATATTAAATTTACGGTGATTAGAATATTATATAACAAATAGTTCTGTAGTAATATTTTAATTTAATTAATATTATATTAATTAATTATATTACATAAATTACACGTAAAATAAACAAAATCGCCGATATAAAGCGACGCGACAACGCGATTATCGCAACCATTCGCATCAACTCGTAAAGTAATTTGTTACTGTCAAATTACAATTTGATTCCATTTTATATACTGTACTTATTTTTATTTTATTCGTAAATACTTTAATTAAATAAAATTGATAAATTCGAAAATTCTAATTAATATTAATAAAAAAATGCATTTATAGTTTCAGAACTTTACATGAAAATGCTGAAGTATAATAAATTAAAAGCGAATTTTTTTTATTTATAGAATTGAATAAAATAAATTTGGATTTTTACCAATAATTTTATTTTATTTTACTTCTTTTTAAGTCCATAAAATCTTAAAAACATGTTAAAGAAATATCATAACATGCGATTTCACAATTTTCTTTCGTGTATCCTACGATAAAATTAACTTAAAATAAATTCTTAAATCGATTCGAATAGTGAAAAATTTTAACTTTTCTACATCTCTAGATTATAATAAAGTAATTTAATTAAAATTATGAAAATATTCAAATCCATTTATACGCTATTATAATTCTAAAATTAAGTATTCACATTATAAAAATAGCTTCTAAACAGAGAGGAAAAAAATAGAAAAGTCATTTTCTTAAGTTCCAGACTAAAATTTCTTTACCTTTAAAGAAAATATGATTAAATTCTTTAAAAAAAATTATTTTTTATTTAAAAAAAGTTGAAATATTTTATGGACTATCCTTTCAAAAATCGTATAGTGTGAAAGAGTGCTTCGCGCAGACATCCAAACGTGCAAACATTGATGTGATGTCAGTATATACTGAAGCACAACATAAGGATATCCGCTTGTAAAATGTCATCAGAATTTTTTCCAGATATACGAACTGGAATTGATGCCAGTCAAAATAAAGCATGCATTTCATCCCCTAAAATTCGTTGCCATTTTTATTACGTGGTTATAGAGAATCGATGATGTTTGTATAGAAATAAAATAAAATAAAATAAATTATTTATTTTAACATCCGGGTTGCAATTTTTACTCGTATTTTTAATTTATTTAATTTAAAATATATGCTCTCCACCTCAAATTATTAGTGTCTTGCCCCTGTACATCATACTTTTCCTGATAACAGCAATCATGCCAATAGCCAAATTTTTTAATTGAAATCACAGTCTAGATATAGTTAACCTGTTATAATAGGACAGACAGATGGACGACACTGAGAATTTATACTTCTGCATTTTTTTTTTAAAATTGTAACCCAATTAGAAATTACACGTACATAAACAGTAGCTGAAAATTCATCTAATATTTCCGTGTGTGGTTAATTGTAAGTAAACAAACACGTAATGTTTAGTTTCAATGGTTACAGCTATAATTAATTACAAAGTTTACAATAACAAGTGATCGATTGTAAGATAAGTTTAAGAAGAAGTTGAAGAAGATATAAAAATAAGCTTTAAATAAATACTGTAAATCTTTAATAATTTATATGAAATGGTCTGATAGACAGATAGACAAAATATTACAATTTATTTCTTTAAGAATTCGTCATGCTGTTAGAAGAAGCTCTATTTAATTTTTAATAATATACATTGCAAACAATGAATTCATAATAAGCTTATTTTTCGAATATTTTAAAGAATTTTAAACATATTTTTTTATTCAAAAAATTTATTTATTTAATATAAAATTCAATTTTTGATGATTTTTAATTCAATTATTCAGTATTGTATCATAATTTTAGTAAGATATAAAAGAATTTAATTATTAAAATTTTACTAGGAATTTTCTATTATTTTTTTTTATTAATAATTTATTACGAAATAATAAATAACTTGGATTTTTTAATACCGAAATTAATATAATTAAATGTAATTTATGCTTAAGATGTATATATTTATGTCGAGTAATTTATTTAAATGGAAGAAATAAATTTAAAAATATCAAAAACAATTTGAAAAATCTCCAAAAACTATTTTTTTTTTTGATTACGCGAATGATCAAACTTTTAAATTACGAAATTCTGACTGAAAATACGATCTAAAATTCTAAGAATCTAAATTTGCTTTTTCTGGCCACTTGCCATCTTAGAAAATTCAAAAACATTCTCATTTATCTTTCAATATGGATCATAATGCAAATTTGAAGAGAAATTTTAAATTATCGCTTCATATTTTCTTAATAAATTTATTTATTATTTTTTTACAGATATAAATATATATATATATAATGATATTCTTAAATTGTTTAGCGTGCAATCTTCTTTAATTAGTACAACGCGTTTAATGAGAAAATTCTCAAGAAGTTATAAAAAAAATTGTATTATTTTTAAATTTTAATTTAATTAAATTTCCTTCGTATTAATTAAAATTATTTCTTGTTTTTTTTCTAAATTTATTTTAGGAATTTTGGCATACATGGATTACAGGGCGCCCACGTTGACGTTGGAACCACCGAGTCGATTGACATTCCTCAATAGCACAGGAGGATCTGCTCCTTGTTCGGTTATAGGAAATCCCAGACCAACAGTTTATTGGGTTACGAGTGATGGAACTCCCGTAACAAATATACCAGGTTTAAGAACTTCTCTACCCAATGGAACTTTATACTTTCCACCCTTTCCATCAGAGCGATATCGACAAGATATCCATTCTGCCGTTTATAGATGTGTCGCCTCGAATTTGGTTGGAAAAGTTGGTTCCAGAGACGTACACGTTAGAGCAGGTAAGTACAGTACTGTACATGTGTATAAGAGCTGTTTATAAATGAAGTCCACACTAGAAAGAAAGGAGGGAGAGAGGGGCTATGACAATTCGGATAAAGTTGTACAAGAGGGAAGGATTAAATTTAAAGGGTGATCGAGTTTTGTTAGAGGTCCAAAGAGGGAAAACTTGGATAAACTTAAACAAGAGGGAGAGGGGAGTAAAAATTTCAAGAAAAATGCGGACGTAGTTTAAGGACACCTACATAGAGTTTTAATGGATGTAAATCGAAATAATTAAAAATGAAAACTTTACGTGTTTGAAAACTCTAAAAGAGAAAGAGTAAGAGAGAGAGAGAGCAGTCAAATGGAAAAAGTTGAAGTGAGTTTTTTGAGATTTAATATGAAACACTGCACGTCAGAAGCACCGCGCGCGCGAAGTAGATTGTGCTTGAAAATTTGCGTTGTGTTAGGTGCTACTTTTATCGAGCGTTACTGTGCGTGATACTCAAGCGGTGTCCAATTCCTCTTTGCCAAACTGAGGCTCTTTCGTTGGTAACGAAGCGTTTGGGTCTGTAGTATACGCTCCGTCGATGGCAGGTGTTGTGGTCAGGATTTGTATGTTCGTGACGTCCAGAATAAAATCGAACACTAGATGGTGTTGTGGCGTGACGGAGAAACCACAAAATCTTCAGCTCGAGTAAGTATTTAATATAAATTACATTCTATGAAACATTAAGCGATTCTGATCAAAAATACTCGTTACACGACTAAATTATGTAAGCTAATAACTCAACGCTACAATTTGTTTACTAGAATCCGCTTTTATTATACATCGGATAACGGAAGAAGTCGGAAAATATAAAGTAAAAATTTAAGTAGAGAGATGAGATACTCTTCCGGTCGTTCAACTTAAGACAATCGCACCATTATTTTGACACCTCCCTTGGAACCAATTCGACCGCTCCATGCATTGATATGGTAATGAGCGAAGGAAGGTCTGCATTTTTCTATCCCTCTGGCTTCTAAATCCGTCCGGAGTTCCTACAGAATTTTTCCCGCCATTCATTTGAAAGTTTAATCGGAAGTCGTTGGCACAACGCCAAACATGGACTAGGACGTACTAACGGATGCGTCAGCTGTCTGTCTTTATTACAATTCCTGTTTCAAACAGGACATCTTTCTCTTACTGACTGGCCAAAATCGGTCAACAGAAAAAAAAAATCCAACTTTTTTTTTTCTTTTCTTTTCTTTTCTGTAATTTTTTTCATTAAAAAGTAATACGAATTATCTTTAATAATTGTATGCAAATGTAATTCTCTAAAAGAAAACGCTTTATTAAAGCAATTTGAATATTTGAAAACATAAGAGTATCAAGCAAAAGTTCAGTTTTGACAGGTAAAATCGCCATAAAAATCGATTTCTCTTCGATTTAAAGGTTAAGAAAACTGATGTATTTTTCATGGCAACGATAACGGTATTATGTTTGAGCGAATATGGTAATGTTAAATATTCTCCACTTCTACTGCATCCGAACTAAATTCTAAACTTATAATTCTATATTTTATATGCGCGTTATACGCGATAATATGGAGAAATTCCTATTCGCTTTAACTGTTATTCGTTATTATCACGCATTAAAACTTCATAAGCGTGTAAACACACGTCTGATACTTTTATTGTACATCAGATACCGTTAATTTTTACGTTATAATATTTTCCGATAAGAGTGAAGAGTAAATGGCTCACTTTCGAATTCATTTTCACAAATGACATATTTGGTCGATTTATCTGGCGTAAGCGATATAATTTCGCACCGTCCACCCTTCTAGAAGTAATTGCTTTGGGAATGATGACCCGTAGCAATACGATGTGCTACCGTGTCGTGACGTCATAGGCGTATAAAGTCGAGAATCCATTTGTCTTTCGATTTGTTACAGGACATAGTGTTGCCAAGCTCATAATCGCCAATAGGATTTTAAAAGTGACGGCTGACATCGGGTTATTATTTCTTGCCATTCGAAAGAAAAATCCGTTCCAAATTTCTAAATAATGTTCTCAACAAGTATTTTCTTCTATATAAATGGATTAACAATATTAAAGAGTTAATACTGAGGCCTAAAATTTAAGAGAGAGAGATAAAAAAAACTTAATTTCTTATCACTTATTCTTATATTTATACAACTTTTTAGATATTTTTATCTCAATTAAATAACATGACTAACAGCTTTGTCTATTAATCTTCTTAATAATTTTCTAAATTAAGAATTCTTCTTTGTGTATATATATATATATATATACGAAATAATTTATGTTGGTTTATTTTGGTATCATAATATATAACTTCATTTGACATGAATGTTAAATGCAAAGGCTTTTTATTACAGCAAATACGTCTTTTTCAGTATTTATACTGCTTATATACGAGTTTATATTATATTACTGACATAATTAAGCTTCTAAAACATATCTTTTTTGGGCTCCTAGTACAATAATAAACAAACAAATCAGTGTTAAAAAATTGTATTATAGTTTTTAATAATAAAATTTAAAAACTAAATTGAAGTACCTTAGTTAAACTCTCACACCCAATTTAGTGCCAAAATTATATCTTAATATACATGAAATAGAATGAATAAAGTTAAATTTTAAGGCTTCAAAATTAAGAGGCCTGAAAAAATGACTGCTGATAAGGCCCGATGAAAGGAGTTGTAACTCTAACATTATCTTACTGTAATATATTTTTATTATTTTTTATAGTAATGTTAATAAAACAGTGAATTAATGTTATTATTCTTTAAAACAATGCTTCGTATTTGGTAAAATATATTCGTAATTATTGTTACAGTCATTTTTCTTACAATAAAAAAAAATGATTAAGAATTAAAAAATTTGAAGCTCAGTCTTAAAAAATATAGGAAAATTAAATAGCCAATAACTCTGTATATTTTATAACTTACTTTCTTAATTACAACCCTCGCTGGACTATTTAATTTCTTTCTTTTTTTAAAAAAATAAACTTCTTTTATAATTATTTCAATTGGTTTAGTGTTTTATTGACCATTTAATGTTTGGCTTTCGGTTAATTTTTTTTTGCTTCATTTGAAACATTTAATAAAAACGTCTTTTTATGTCGAATCGTGTCATTTTAAATGATTGGTCGACACTACTTTCATTTGTAGTCTGTAAAATTCTTGAATCATTTAATTACATTAACTTAATTAAATTCTGTATTATGAATTACATGTTACTATAAAAATAATGATGAAACTACGTGTAAGAATTTAATGTTGGCTTTAAATTAAAAATAAACGATTTTTTCATCTATTATTCTAAGAAAATTTACAAAGAAATCAAAATTATAAAAGTATTTTTTCGTGCAAAATAACCTCTAAAGAGCGACCATTTTTTTTATATGTTCCTGTCAGTGGTCTTTGTTTAGAGGTTTGGTAGTTTTGTATTTAATTGACTGTTAAGCTAGATAAAAATTCATTAAGATTTTGATAGTTTTCAATGAAAAATAACTCATTAGCATGAAATCTCAATTTATCGCCACCATTTTTTATTTCTTATGTTGGCACTAAAACGAATATAACACTGTATTGAAACCCGTCAAACAGTAAAATTTATGTGTAATAAATATAATGAAGTCTACATATATGTTCTTGAAAATCACGTAAGTCGATAATTCGAGGGATTCTTTAATACATTCAAACTTTGATACAGATTTCTATTAAATAGCGTCACCCTCGTAAAGCATCAATAAATACTTGTAAACTATATCAGTTTACAAGTATTTATATATAAATATTCCCAATAAATATTAAATAGAGCCAAACTGCTAATCCGAGGGCATTAAACAACCTCATCTCAGTTAAGATGAGGTTGTTTAAAGTACAGTACCTCAGTTTAACGCGCTCACTCGATTTAGTGCCAATTTAGATGGGCGCTAAATCGAAAGTTTGCTGTAAAAGAATTAATTTAAAAAATTAATAAATAATTAAATTACATACACAATTTTATTACATTCCATTATTTATTGTCTGATTACAAATATATTATATACAAATATTTATTATATAAAACTAATAAAATGTTAAAAAATATAAGTATAATTATATATACATATATAATAAAAATTCTATAGTAAATATTGTTTACATAAGATGACCTGAATATTCTACATAAAACGATTTAAGTTGAATCAACTATCCAATATGTTATCATAAATGTAAACACTTACTCTTATATGTATATGGATATATAAAGGCATATAATAAAAATTTAAGACATTCTTTTATCTCAAACTCTGTATTGCTATGACAACGCATCAATAATAAAATTTGAAATTTTTTCCTTTATCTTCAGAAACATTCAAATTAAATTTCTTACTGAAGTTTCCACATGTAAGATATGTTTGTCGAAGAATTTTTCTTGACTATATTTGGTCTATGTAATTCGATCATGCATTGTTTCTTTCCTTTCTTTTATTATTATTATTATTTAATATATAATATGGAAAGTTTTTAAATTAATAATTAACGTCTCTAGATAATAAATTTTCTATATTTAAAAGTTATTTTATATTTATATAATTAATATATTTATAAATTTTTAATCGTCTAAAATTTTGATAGATTCCATTTGTTTCGGATTTGATAGAATTTTTTAATATGAATAATTTAAGAAAATATATCTGATTGAAATGTTAATATTTTCCATATAAATGCTTTTTCTTCCACATTATCATTTTCAATATTTCTCATGAATCATAATCGGCAAAATCAATTTTATTTGGCCAAATCCATAGAAGACACATACCATTCTAGTTTCGCTTTCATTTTATTTCTTATTTTATAAATGTTTATTTATTAAGAATTTTCTTTTGAATTACTTCTTATCGATTTATATTTTAGACTTATTTTTTTAAAAAAGATATTAGAAGTAATTTTTAAACCAGCAAACTGCAATTCTATATCGGTGCCTTCTCCTCCTAAGATTTCCATATCTGATCTCGACTTCCATCTCTCTAACTCCATTCTCGAGATTAAAGAAACACAGAAGGACGGACAGACGGACGGACGGACGACAGTGGGAATTTATAAGTCTACAATTTTTTCAAATTTCAGTCCAATTAACTCGACGTCTAAGATGCTCTTTTGTAAAATAATTAATGGGTAATGCTTGTAATTATGTAATATTTAAGTACAGGAGTAAGGTCGTGATCCATCTTTAATAAAATTGTATAGTTTAATATGCGATTTTCATAGTGAAAACTTTGAAGATGTCTTGCCTAAATTCATTAATTTACAGATTCGTGCTTTAAAATTTATGATTCTGGGGATAATTTGATTTTATAGAAGATGTCCTAACATTTGTTTAAATATGGGCATCACAATGAGAAAATAAAATATGATCGCATCAAAAGTTCTTATAGTGTAAATATTTAAGGAACTGACCAATTATACTGTTCATTTGTTTATGATCAATAATCAAAAATAGCTCACAAATTAAGCTTCCAATATGCATTTTCCTAATTACTATACCCTTAAAAAACAAACTTGTTATGTATTTTCCTTTAAAATATAAATATTTTAAAATATGATAGCAAATTTAAGTGATCGCCATTTTTCTTTCTGTAATGACAGTTTTGTTATAATAACATTTGATCAGACAACCGGATGGCCGAGCGAGTTGACGCTCCATTCTACTTTTCTGGAGGATCCTGGCTTAAGTCCAAGCCAATTTACTCAAGAAAAATCTTAAATTTTCATGGGTATACTCAGTTATGTTAGGCCCTTTCTCTTGGCATTCGGCCCCCTACTAAATCCAGAATGGGTATTTTAACATGCCCTCTTAGTGCTTATTGAGTAGGAGAATTACGATTAGGAAACTTATTAATAATATTCAGAGAAGAATTTAGCTAAATTCAATTGAAAAGTTTTAAATATAACGCCAAAAATTGAAATGATCGATATTTTATTTCAACATTTACTTTAACAGAATAATTTCTATAGCTCATGTGTGAAATTAAACTAGAAGTTTCTAAACTTTCAGTTTTATACGACAATATTTTAAAAAATAACACACAAAGCACGTTTCGACATAATGTTTACTCTTGAATATTAAAACAAATATAAAAACTCGAATCACTTAAGCGTATTAGTGACGAGTTAAAGTTTGTACAGACAAACAAACAGGCGGAATACATACTAATGGAAAACAATAAATGTTGATAAAGTTATGAACATCAACGAAATTTATCATTTAGCAAAGATGAAAATTTTCATATAAAATCAATAAAATGTAAAATATTCATGAATTAATTTCGAATAATTTTTTATAAGCAAAAATATTCGATTTAAATTATTTATTTAATGGAAAATATGAAAAATCATAAAATTTTATAACACAAATCATTTTATATTTTCCTCAAAATATCGAGAAAAGATAATGACGATATTTTGCATCAATTAGTAATTGATGTGGTAAGAGAATATTGTATCTCCCCCTGTAATAAGGCTCGCCTTTATTACAATAAAGTAATTATATATATTCTGCATAAATTAATAAACGTTAATGTTCAGAGTTCAAAATTCTAATCGAAATGTTTATTTATTTATATTTAAAAATATTATTTTAAAATTAATTGTAATAAATTTTGTATTATGAGCCAACGATTCTCAGCCTTTCTAAGTTGCGAGATCTTTTATTTTCTTTTTTATTTAAAAATTGTCGAACGTTTCTTAATTTAGAGCCTTAGAAATTGGAATTATCGAAGGATCATCTGAATATTTTACCTATATTTCATACTCTTCATGGCTATTACTTGTGGCTCTAAGATATAATATTTAACAGGGGTTTCACCTCCACCAAATTTGAGGTCCTAAGCTACAGATACTCCTATTTACGAAGCCCTAAGCAGAGTAGTTTTGGCGCCTGAGGCAACAAAGAAATTCTGCGGGTTCATTTTGGCACTCGGCATCCAGACCTCATCTTCGCCGCTTTTGTTATGCCGTTGGCCCTAAACTATTACTTTTTTAGCTTACGTGGAAATCCGACTTTGATCTTCTATGTTTATGCACATTTATCAATGTGTAACTTTGTATTTTATTGTGATAGCAATTAAATAATTTCAAATATGAATAATTATCAATAGAAATCTCGACACTTTCGTATGACAATGGGGACTTTCAAAATCCGCAGACCACAGGTTGAGTATCGCTGATGTAAATAAAAATAGAGCAAAAAAGTGCCTTTTTAAAGGAATGGATTTTTCTCTATATTCTATTTATATGTTAAGGAATTTTTCTTCATTATATCTTTTATGTATTTCGATCGTATACTATTTTATATAAAACAAGAATATTTTAAATCGGTAATAAACATTTATAGATAAAAATGTTATATTTCCAAAGTAGTTAACGATTTATTAAGGTTATAACTTAGAAGTTTTCAAGATTTCATTTAATTTCCAAGTATAAGTATATGTAAAATTTTTCTTTTAGACATTCAATTTAATGAATTACATTTATAATAATTTGAATTACAATAAAATAATTAAATTAACTATTATATACAGTAATTAATAAACAATGAATTTTTTTTGTTTTACTACAATGGAACAGAAGAGAAACTATTACAATTCATATTGGCATTAATCCAACACTATCAAGCGAATTTAAGCAATGTTTATGATCAAAATATCTACAATGAATCCTACAATAAAATCTGTTTTCTTTTATTTTTTAATGAAACAAAATATCCACTGCTTAAACCTTTCTTATATTTATAGATTTAATAGAAACATAGANATGAAAATGCTGAAGTATAATAAATTAAAAGCGAATTTTTTTTATTTATAGAATTGAATAAAATAAATTTGGATTTTTACCAATAATTTTATTTTATTTTACTTCTTTTTAAGTCCATAAAATCTTAAAAACATGTTAAAGAAATATCATAACATGCGATTTCACAATTTTCTTTCGTGTATCCTACGATAAAATTAACTTAAAATAAATTCTTAAATCGATTCGAATAGTGAAAAATTTTAACTTTTCTACATCTCTAGATTATAATAAAGTAATTTAATTAAAATTATAAAAATATTCAAATCCATTTATACGCTATTATAATTCTAAAATTAAGTATTCACATTATAAAAATAGCTTCTAAACAGAGAGGAAAAAAATAGAAAAGTCATTTTCTTAAGTTCCAGACTAAAATTTCTTTACCTTTAAAGAAAATATGATTAAATTCTTTAAAAAAAATTATTTTTTATTTAAAAAAAGTTGAAATATTTTATGGACTATCCTTTCAAAAATCGTATAGTGTGAAAGAGTGCTTCGCGCAGACATCCAAACGTGCAAACATTGATGTGATGTCAGTATATACTGAAGCACAACATAAGGATATCCGCTTGTAAAATGTCATCAGAATTTTTTCCAGATATACGAACTGGAATTGATGCCAGTCAAAATAAAGCATGCATTTCATCCCCTAAAATTCGTTGCCATTTTTATTACGTGGTTATAGAGAATCGATGATGTTTGTATAGAAATAAAATAAAATAAAATAAATTATTTATTTTAACATCCGGGTTGCAATTTTTACTCGTATTTTTAATTTATTTAATTTAAAATATATGCTCTCCACCTCAAATTATTAGTGTCTTGCCCCTGTACATCATACTTTTCCTGATAACAGCAATCATGCCAATAGCCAAATTTTTTAATTGAAATCACAGTCTAGATATAGTTAACCTGTTATAATAGGACAGACAGATGGACGACACTGAGAATTTATACTTCTGCATTTTTTTTTTAAAATTGTAACCCAATTAGAAATTACACGTACATAAACAGTAGCTGAAAATTCATCTAATATTTCCGTGTGTGGTTAATTGTAAGTAAACAAACACGTAATGTTTAGTTTCAATGGTTACAGCTATAATTAATTACAAAGTTTACAATAACAAGTGATCGATTGTAAGATAAGTTTAAGAAGAAGTTGAAGAAGATATAAAAATAAGCTTTAAATAAATACTGTAAATCTTTAATAATTTATATGAAATGGTCTGATAGACAGATAGACAAAATATTACAATTTATTTCTTTAAGAATTCGTCATGCTGTTAGAAGAAGCTCTATTTAATTTTTAATAATATACATTGCAAACAATGAATTCATAATAAGCTTATTTTTCGAATATTTTAAAGAATTTTAAACATATTTTTTTATTCAAAAAATTTATTTATTTAATATAAAATTCAATTTTTGATGATTTTTAATTCAATTATTCAGTATTGTATCATAATTTTAGTAAGATATAAAAGAATTTAATTATTAAAATTTTACTAGGAATTTTCTATTATTTTTTTTTATTAATAATTTATTACGAAATAATAAATAACTTGGATTTTTTAATACCGAAATTAATATAATTAAATGTAATTTATGCTTAAGATGTATATATTTATGTCGAGTAATTTATTTAAATGGAAGAAATAAATTTAAAAATATCAAAAACAATTTGAAAAATCTCCAAAAACTATTTTTTTTTTTGATTACGCGAATGATCAAACTTTTAAATTACGAAATTCTGACTGAAAATACGATCTAAAATTCTAAGAATCTAAATTTGCTTTTTCTGGCCACTTGCCATCTTAGAAAATTCAAAAACATTCTCATTTATCTTTCAATATGGATCATAATGCAAATTTGAAGAGAAATTTTAAATTATCGCTTCATATTTTCTTAATAAATTTATTTATTATTTTTTTACAGATATAAATATATATATATATAATGATATTCTTAAATTGTTTAGCGTGCAATCTTCTTTAATTAGTACAACGCGTTTAATGAGAAAATTCTCAAGAAGTTATAAAAAAAATTGTATTATTTTTAAATTTTAATTTAATTAAATTTCCTTCGTATTAATTAAAATTATTTCTTGTTTTTTTTCTAAATTTATTTTAGGAATTTTGGCATACATGGATTACAGGGCGCCCACGTTGACGTTGGAACCACCGAGTCGATTGACATTCCTCAATAGCACAGGAGGATCTGCTCCTTGTTCGGTTATAGGAAATCCCAGACCAACAGTTTATTGGGTTACGAGTGATGGAACTCCCGTAACAAATATACCAGGTTTAAGAACTTCTCTACCCAATGGAACTTTATACTTTCCACCCTTTCCATCAGAGCGATATCGACAAGATATCCATTCTGCCGTTTATAGATGTGTCGCCTCGAATTTGGTTGGAAAAGTTGGTTCCAGAGACGTACACGTTAGAGCAGGTAAGTACAGTACTGTACATGTGTATAAGAGCTGTTTATAAATGAAGTCCACACTAGAAAGAAAGGAGGGAGAGAGGGGCTATGACAATTCGGATAAAGTTGTACAAGAGGGAAGGATTAAATTTAAAGGGTGATCGAGTTTTGTTAGAGGTCCAAAGAGGGAAAACTTGGATAAACTTAAACAAGAGGGAGAGGGGAGTAAAAATTTCAAGAAAAATGCGGACGTAGTTTAAGGACACCTACATAGAGTTTTAATGGATGTAAATCGAAATAATTAAAAATGAAAACTTTACGTGTTTGAAAACTCTAAAAGAGAAAGAGTAAGAGAGAGAGAGAGCAGTCAAATGGAAAAAGTTGAAGTGAGTTTTTTGAGATTTAATATGAAACACTGCACGTCAGAAGCACCGCGCGCGCGAAGTAGATTGTGCTTGAAAATTTGCGTTGTGTTAGGTGCTACTTTTATCGAGCGTTACTGTGCGTGATACTCAAGCGGTGTCCAATTCCTCTTTGCCAAACTGAGGCTCTTTCGTTGGTAACGAAGCGTTTGGGTCTGTAGTATACGCTCCGTCGATGGCAGGTGTTGTGGTCAGGATTTGTATGTTCGTGACGTCCAGAATAAAATCGAACACTAGATGGTGTTGTGGCGTGACGGAGAAACCACAAAATCTTCAGCTCGAGTAAGTATTTAATATAAATTACATTCTATGAAACATTAAGCGATTCTGATCAAAAATACTCGTTACACGACTAAATTATGTAAGCTAATAACTCAACGCTACAATTTGTTTACTAGAATCCGCTTTTATTATACATCGGATAACGGAAGAAGTCGGAAAATATAAAGTAAAAATTTAAGTAGAGAGATGAGATACTCTTCCGGTCGTTCAACTTAAGACAATCGCACCATTATTTTGACACCTCCCTTGGAACCAATTCGACCGCTCCATGCATTGATATGGTAATGAGCGAAGGAAGGTCTGCATTTTTCTATCCCTCTGGCTTCTAAATCCGTCCGGAGTTCCTACAGAATTTTTCCCGCCATTCATTTGAAAGTTTAATCGGAAGTCGTTGGCACAACGCCAAACATGGACTAGGACGTACTAACGGATGCGTCAGCTGTCTGTCTTTATTACAATTCCTGTTTCAAACAGGACATCTTTCTCTTACTGACTGGCCAAAATCGGTCAACAGAAAAAAAAAATCCAACTTTTTTTTTTCTTTTCTTTTCTTTTCTGTAATTTTTTTCATTAAAAAGTAATACGAATTATCTTTAATAATTGTATGCAAATGTAATTCTCTAAAAGAAAACGCTTTATTAAAGCAATTTGAATATTTGAAAACATAAGAGTATCAAGCAAAAGTTCAGTTTTGACAGGTAAAATCGCCATAAAAATCGATTTCTCTTCGATTTAAAGGTTAAGAAAACTGATGTATTTTTCATGGCAACGATAACGGTATTATGTTTGAGCGAATATGGTAATGTTAAATATTCTCCACTTCTACTGCATCCGAACTAAATTCTAAACTTATAATTCTATATTTTATATGCGCGTTATACGCGATAATATGGAGAAATTCCTATTCGCTTTAACTGTTATTCGTTATTATCACGCATTAAAACTTCATAAGCGTGTAAACACACGTCTGATACTTTTATTGTACATCAGATACCGTTAATTTTTACGTTATAATATTTTCCGATAAGAGTGAAGAGTAAATGGCTCACTTTCGAATTCATTTTCACAAATGACATATTTGGTCGATTTATCTGGCGTAAGCGATATAATTTCGCACCGTCCACCCTTCTAGAAGTAATTGCTTTGGGAATGATGACCCGTAGCAATACGATGTGCTACCGTGTCGTGACGTCATAGGCGTATAAAGTCGAGAATCCATTTGTCTTTCGATTTGTTACAGGACATAGTGTTGCCAAGCTCATAATCGCCAATAGGATTTTAAAAGTGACGGCTGACATCGGGTTATTATTTCTTGCCATTCGAAAGAAAAATCCGTTCCAAATTTCTAAATAATGTTCTCAACAAGTATTTTCTTCTATATAAATGGATTAACAATATTAAAGAGTTAATACTGAGGCCTAAAATTTAAGAGAGAGAGATAAAAAAAACTTAATTTCTTATCACTTATTCTTATATTTATACAACTTTTTAGATATTTTTATCTCAATTAAATAACATGACTAACAGCTTTGTCTATTAATCTTCTTAATAATTTTCTAAATTAAGAATTCTTCTTTGTGTATATATATATATATATATACGAAATAATTTATGTTGGTTTATTTTGGTATCATAATATATAACTTCATTTGACATGAATGTTAAATGCAAAGGCTTTTTATTACAGCAAATACGTCTTTTTCAGTATTTATACTGCTTATATACGAGTTTATATTATATTACTGACATAATTAAGCTTCTAAAACATATCTTTTTTGGGCTCCTAGTACAATAATAAACAAACAAATCAGTGTTAAAAAATTGTATTATAGTTTTTAATAATAAAATTTAAAAACTAAATTGAAGTACCTTAGTTAAACTCTCACACCCAATTTAGTGCCAAAATTATATCTTAATATACATGAAATAGAATGAATAAAGTTAAATTTTAAGGCTTCAAAATTAAGAGGCCTGAAAAAATGACTGCTGATAAGGCCCGATGAAAGGAGTTGTAACTCTAACATTATCTTACTGTAATATATTTTTATTATTTTTTATAGTAATGTTAATAAAACAGTGAATTAATGTTATTATTCTTTAAAACAATGCTTCGTATTTGGTAAAATATATTCGTAATTATTGTTACAGTCATTTTTCTTACAATAAAAAAAAATGATTAAGAATTAAAAAATTTGAAGCTCAGTCTTAAAAAATATAGGAAAATTAAATAGCCAATAACTCTGTATATTTTATAACTTACTTTCTTAATTACAACCCTCGCTGGACTATTTAATTTCTTTCTTTTTTTAAAAAAATAAACTTCTTTTATAATTATTTCAATTGGTTTAGTGTTTTATTGACCATTTAATGTTTGGCTTTCGGTTAATTTTTTTTTGCTTCATTTGAAACATTTAATAAAAACGTCTTTTTATGTCGAATCGTGTCATTTTAAATGATTGGTCGACACTACTTTCATTTGTAGTCTGTAAAATTCTTGAATCATTTAATTACATTAACTTAATTAAATTCTGTATTATGAATTACATGTTACTATAAAAATAATGATGAAACTACGTGTAAGAATTTAATGTTGGCTTTAAATTAAAAATAAACGATTTTTTCATCTATTATTCTAAGAAAATTTACAAAGAAATCAAAATTATAAAAGTATTTTTTCGTGCAAAATAACCTCTAAAGAGCGACCATTTTTTTTATATGTTCCTGTCAGTGGTCTTTGTTTAGAGGTTTGGTAGTTTTGTATTTAATTGACTGTTAAGCTAGATAAAAATTCATTAAGATTTTGATAGTTTTCAATGAAAAATAACTCATTAGCATGAAATCTCAATTTATCGCCACCATTTTTTATTTCTTATGTTGGCACTAAAACGAATATAACACTGTATTGAAACCCGTCAAACAGTAAAATTTATGTGTAATAAATATAATGAAGTCTACATATATGTTCTTGAAAATCACGTAAGTCGATAATTCGAGGGATTCTTTAATACATTCAAACTTTGATACAGATTTCTATTAAATAGCGTCACCCTCGTAAAGCATCAATAAATACTTGTAAACTATATCAGTTTACAAGTATTTATATATAAATATTCCCAATAAATATTAAATAGAGCCAAACTGCTAATCCGAGGGCATTAAACAACCTCATCTCAGTTAAGATGAGGTTGTTTAAAGTACAGTACCTCAGTTTAACGCGCTCACTCGATTTAGTGCCAATTTAGATGGGCGCTAAATCGAAAGTTTGCTGTAAAAGAATTAATTTAAAAAATTAATAAATAATTAAATTACATACACAATTTTATTACATTCCATTATTTATTGTCTGATTACAAATATATTATATACAAATATTTATTATATAAAACTAATAAAATGTTAAAAAATATAAGTATAATTATATATACATATATAATAAAAATTCTATAGTAAATATTGTTTACATAAGATGACCTGAATATTCTACATAAAACGATTTAAGTTGAATCAACTATCCAATATGTTATCATAAATGTAAACACTTACTCTTATATGTATATGGATATATAAAGGCATATAATAAAAATTTAAGACATTCTTTTATCTCAAACTCTGTATTGCTATGACAACGCATCAATAATAAAATTTGAAATTTTTTCCTTTATCTTCAGAAACATTCAAATTAAATTTCTTACTGAAGTTTCCACATGTAAGATATGTTTGTCGAAGAATTTTTCTTGACTATATTTGGTCTATGTAATTCGATCATGCATTGTTTCTTTCCTTTCTTTTATTATTATTATTATTTAATATATAATATGGAAAGTTTTTAAATTAATAATTAACGTCTCTAGATAATAAATTTTCTATATTTAAAAGTTATTTTATATTTATATAATTAATATATTTATAAATTTTTAATCGTCTAAAATTTTGATAGATTCCATTTGTTTCGGATTTGATAGAATTTTTTAATATGAATAATTTAAGAAAATATATCTGATTGAAATGTTAATATTTTCCATATAAATGCTTTTTCTTCCACATTATCATTTTCAATATTTCTCATGAATCATAATCGGCAAAATCAATTTTATTTGGCCAAATCCATAGAAGACACATACCATTCTAGTTTCGCTTTCATTTTATTTCTTATTTTATAAATGTTTATTTATTAAGAATTTTCTTTTGAATTACTTCTTATCGATTTATATTTTAGACTTATTTTTTTAAAAAAGATATTAGAAGTAATTTTTAAACCAGCAAACTGCAATTCTATATCGGTGCCTTCTCCTCCTAAGATTTCCATATCTGATCTCGACTTCC